GTAATCCACTAGAGCACATCACAGCAATCAGGACAATCCTTCGGCATAGCACAGCGGAAATACACACCACGAGATCGAACCCTCGGCGAAGATACCATGATAACATTCATCTAAGAACTAACAGATGAAAGTATGCATGTAGTATCAAAGAAATACAGAAGAAAAGATCGAAAGGAATAGAGAGGATTAGAGAAAGAAATGAGTAATAGTTTGTTATTTCATTTGACTGAGTGAATCTACAAAAGACCCCTGATATCTTCTTATATAGTCTGCACATGTAGCTTATCAGCTAAGCCACCTGTGTATTAACAAACTAACTAACTCAAAATGGCTGATGTGGCACATATGATGATGTGTCAATCACTATATATCTTCAACACACCTCTCCCCACTCTTCTCTCTCCTTTCACCTCACTCCATAAACATTTTATTTTTATTTGTTTATTTGTTTATTTGACTATTCTTTCAATTGTTTTAGAATAAACTAAGTAATAATATTACAAAATCAAAAATAAAGAAAATTCACTATTCAGTTTTATGAACATTAATACTGTGACTATTTCTTAAACAAAACATTGACTACTTCTTAAACTAAACACTATTTCTTAAATTGAATATTGACTACTTCTTAAACTGAACACTATTTTTTAAACTGAACATTGACTACTTCTTAAACTGAACAATATTTCTTAAACTGAACACTAACTATATCTTAAACGGAACACTAATAATATCATTACTTCTTGAACTAAACACTGACTATTTCGTAAACTGAACGTTAGTACTATTACTATTTCGTAAACTAAACACTGACTATTTCTTAAATTGAATATAATAGACTATATATTAAACCAAGTAATAGTACTATCTCAATTTCGTAAACTAAGCATTGACTATTTTTCAAACCAAACACTAGTATTATCACTGTTTTGTAAACTAGTACTGTCACTATTTCATAAACTAAGCACTGACTATTTCTTAAACAAAAAACTAACTATTTCGTAAAATAAACACTGACTATTTCTTAAAATCGAACACTAGTACTATCACTATTTCGTAAACTAAGCATTGACTATTTTTCAAACCAAACACTAGTATTATCACTGTTTTGTAAACTAGTACTGTCACTATTTCATAAACTAAGCACTAACTATTTCTTAAACAAAAAACTAACTATTTCGTAAAATAAACACTGACTATTTCTTAGAATCGAACACTAGTACTATCACTATTTTTTAAACTATTTCCTTACAAATTACTGTCATGTATTGATGTTAGCAATATATTTTTTTTATCTCAAATTTCTCTCTTATTAATTTTTTTTTTGAGTTTGTTGATGTCAGTTTGAAAGGATTTGGTTGGCTATACCCTCAGAATCTCTTCCTTACACACACACACACACACACACACACACACTCTCTCTCTCTCTCTCTCTCTAAACCTTTTCCTTCCCGATGAAATATTTAAAAAGTAATTTGGGTGTTGCTTTTGCGCCATTGATTTTCTGTTGAAAATTACTACTTTTCTTTTCTTTTCTTTCTTTCTGTATGTAAACAGATTTCTCTCTCTCCCTCTTTAAAGGAAAAAAAGCCATTGAAGCTTCACTCTCACGTTTTCCTTCCCAATGAAATGTTTTAAAAATAATTTATTTCATCCATCCATTCCATCTCATCATTTTAAAAATAATTTATTTCATCCATCCATTCCATCTCATCATTCATTGTACTACTCCCCACTACTAATTTTGCACTGCACGTTAGTCTTCTTATCAGTTCTATCTGCTCACAGTCACAGCAAAGGCTTGATTTGATAATTGAATTGGTTGACGCATGCTTACATGCGGTTGGGTTGGATTGTTTTTTATCATTAAATAAAGTTTGTATATGGTTTTTGGTTAAAATTCAAAATTTTGAAGCCCTTTTGGTTAGTTTTCCTATAAAAGAATCCTTAGTTCTTGAGCAGGATATCCTATTATTTCTTGACCTCACTAATTAAGAACCACCGGATAAAGAGAAATCATAATTTTATTGTTATAAGCAGTAGCGGAGCCAAGGTGGGGGCAATGGGATTCCTTGACCCCAATAACCTTGTGGCCAAACAAGAAGAAGAAGAAGAAGGAGCTGATAAAGTTTGTTTGTGTTTGTTTGATTAGTGTCTTGGGGTTTAGAACTTGACAGAAAAATGGAACAAAGAATGCAGAGATGTTGGACGACTACAAGGCTGTGCAAATTGCATCTGCCATCACTTCATTTAATAAGGAATGTTTGTAAGGTTTGGTGCATTGCCAACTCCCAAAACATTTTTTAAGAGTCTGGGGGACAAGAGAACTTAAACAAATATTACACCCATTCTCCTTCAGATTTCATCCTAGCCCTTCATTGGGGTTTTAAGCGATCTAATCTGGAGTGCACACTTGTCACTCTCACACACACATACAAAGCATTTAAACTGAAAACAAGCCGTTGGGACTAAACCCTTTTTTTCTTCTTTCTTCTTCGATGCAGCAGCAACTCATCCATTGGAGCTCCACTTGCTGTCGTCGATCCTTGGAACTAGAAGCAGTTTAAGGTCCAACAGGAGTTGCTGCTCCATTTGTTAGCCATCACTCCATCAGCACCTCTTCTCCAGCCCCCTGCTAAATCTTCCCACCACCGTGAATTTAAGGCCTGGCAGCCTCCAGATCGTCAGACCCGCGTTTTCGGCATGCCCTGTCTAGTAATGGAAGTTCAACTTTTGACCCCATTGTCTTAAATTCCTGGCTCCGCCACTGGTTATAAGCTATATATATATATATATATATATATATTAATCTACCCGACAAAGAATTGATGGTTTGAACCAAGGTCTAAAATATCGATATTATCCCGATATTTCCATCGAAATTTCCGTGTTTTTAGACTACTGATATTTCCGACATCATCGATATTTTAGACCTTGATAGGAACTCTATGTGGTACTAAGTCACTCATGTATCTTACCATGCAATATATAAAGTGTAAAATATTGTACTAATTCATTATATATAAATAATTATGGTGTGTCTAAACTTCTTTCATTAATTACTACATATTTTCTACACTCATAATGTTTGTCAGCTCGCTATAATCAACTTAAATCAGTTAAATCCATCATGCAATGCATTTCCTTCCAATTTTTGTGATAAACTAATAGATAATTAACTAAATAAACATCCTGCAAAGTTTCAATAAAAATTTCCAAGTTTTTCTTACAATTTCCGTGGTTTTTATTCAATTTTTATCGATATCGATAATATCCCGATATTTTCGTGTTTTTGGACTACCGATATTTCTGATATCATCGATATTTTATACCTTGGTTTGAACCCATGATGCAATAAGTTAAAAAAATATAGCCCTAATGACAATTCATCACTTCAAGAAATCATTATTAAGTTTTTATAATAAAAAAAAATATACATAGTCGAAGTTAATATCTTTAAAATGCTTAACATAAGAACCGTCTATTATTTTACGGCTCCGGATTTGCTGTCCAGAAAATGATATCTCCTTCTTTATTTGTTTGACACGTGTATTACCACTAACTCTAATTTAACTCTGTTAACTCTTACTAAATTAAAAAATAATAATAATTAGCAGAAGCAACTCCCGGTTTACAGTCCCTCTGCCCACACCCACGCCCACCCCTCCCCCTCCCTTACGCCAGCCCACAGCCAAAACCCCTTCCCCTCCCCTTCCCTTAATCGTCGTAGCCTGACCATCGTGGACTTGAAACTTGGTACGGACGACGTCAAGGCGGCGCATCGCGGCGATGGCGGCGAGTCCAGCGATGGCACCGGCACCGGCGGTTTCGCACTGCCACTACGATGCCGACGAAATTTGTATTTCACGACAGATCTAGAAGATTTCAGTGAGATTGGTGTTTGAAAATTCCAGAGAGATTTGTCCCAAACCTCTCGACTCTTCGACCAATATGATTAAAAAAACTATGTGAATCTTAAGCCAAGTGAGAGAGGGGTTTTGGCTGTGGGTTAGCGTAAGGGAGGGGGAGGGGTGGGTGTGGGTGTGGTGGGCAAGGACTGGAAACTGGGGAGTTGCTTCTGCTAATATTTTTTTTTTTACTTAAATTTTTTTTTTTAATTCAGTAAAAGTTAACAGAGTTAGTGGTAGTACACGTGTCAAACAAATAAAGAATGAGACATGAAGGAGACATCACTTTCGAGACAACAAATCTGGAGCCTTATTTTACTAGCAAGCTATGCTGCCATTTCTGCCATTCCTCTGTGGGATTCACTCTCAACAATTCTTAAAATCTTACTCAGCAAATAGAAGCCATCCAGAATTGTCTGATGAAATATTTATGATCTGCTTCCCAATTGCTCTGCAAACTCTATTACGTTGTAACAAATTTGTGATCAAGTAGAATGGTACACAAGTTATCCAACAATAATGAAGAACAGTGAAGCTTACCGTTTCCAGTATTCCAGTACCCATTACAATATAAGGATAGTAAATATTAAATAACGGCAAATATTGGTAGAAACTACGTACGTATGTATACTAAGTTGCGCAGAAGTTTATAATTTACCCCTAAAATGCTAAGGATCTCAATTCACAAGCCTTTGATTGTCTCCTCCCCCCTCTTCAATATTAATTTCTTCAAATCAACAATAATTCAGGATCCTTGATTGGCATGGATTAACATGTGCAAGTGTCTGTATAGTCCATAGACATGTACTAGATCCCGCACGCGAAATAACACCATGATTAAACCCAAATCCCAACCAAACCTAACGTCAGAGAACCTTCAGCCTCAAGTTTGTCTCAGTTCAATTCGTTTTGTTGGGTTTTCTGACATTGCTTCCGTGCATTTAGAGGAGAGATTCGTAGCTATCCACAGTGTATATGCTTATTACTAATTATACGATTATAGAGATAGACAGAATGAGATATACAACATGTTATCAAGCATATTCTACATATCTTATAGTAGGGTTTCATTAAAATCTTGATCTTACTCAATTTGTAAATAACATATATAAGGATCAAATAATTCAAAAACATGTTACATGGCAGAGAGGTAATACTGCATGTTCAACATATAATATCATGAATAATGTGCGACAATTGAACAAATTAACAGGTTTGGTTTTGGTGGCTAGAGCACGAGTTTTAATTTGGACATGCCTTAGTTTCGTTGAATAACTAGGAAGAAGAACAAGTGGTGGAAATTAAATTTAGCATGAGGAAAGGAACACAACAACCAACAATATCTGGCGACAAAATAAGGACCTAAAATGGATTAAGACGGTACCTAAGAAACTAAAAACCTCCCAAGAAACCGTATATCAATTATAAAACATCTCTCTGTATCATCATTTTATTCCACTTGAAGAATCATCATAATAAGAAAATTAAATGGGATCGACATCTTAATTTCAGTCTAAAAATTAAAATTTAACCAAAGAAGGAAACATTTTCACTTGAAAGGGAGGTATAGTCCACGGCACTGGTTTGTTGATTCGTGTACATAGAAGAAGAGGAAGAAGTAGGAGGTAGAGGAGGTGGCGGTGATGGTGGCGGCGGTGGTTGTGGGGTCTGCGGCAAGGAAGCAACGGAAACAGCCCCGGAAGTAGAGAACAAAGCCATATGATGATGAGAATTAGAAGGAAGGAGATTTGCTTCCCTATATTTGTATTTAAGTATCTCGCCCCTTACTGCGTTCAGCTCAGCTTGTAAAGATTGAACTTGTTGTTGCAAAGCTGAAATTACACCCATGCATCCATACACCGGATCTCTTAGCCTCACATTTGCTTCATAAACAAGACTATTTGCTGCATCTGCTCTTTGAGTCTCCGGCACCTCCTGATTAAATGTTTAATTGCACCACACACATGAAAAAATAAATCACTAATTATCAATGTAATTAAAAAACAAGATAATAAAATCCCAGTGGCTGCTACCGGGTAGAAATTAATCTACAGTGAGGGTAATGAAAGGATTAGGCTATCCCTTATCCCTCCAAACACCAACACCGGTCAATATTTATTATATAAAACCAAATGTTAACAAAATATGGACAAGATGCAGATTGATACCGGTATCAAACGCTTTCTCCGAAATTGAATGTACATAATCAATGCATAATGATGACATAAAGAATTAGGGTTTATAGTTTAATTACCATGAGCATCTTCGAGACGTTGCTGGCACCAAAGACCTTATGGACCGAGGCAAACTTCTGGGGTTCGTGGGGAGAGAAGTAAGGAGAGAAGGGGCATTCCTGTGAACACCTTCGTCTGAGGAGTTTACAGGCAGCACAAGGAGTGATGGTGTTTAGGGTTCCAGGAGGGCCCAACATGTGTCTTCTTCCCATTTGATAATGGGAAGCATCAGTTTCTCTTGTAAACTTCTTGCCTACCTCATCAAATCTCTCCCTAGAAGCAGAAATGCATAAACAAAATTGTGATGACACATATAATACAACTATAGATAGGAAGGTGATTTCCGCACAGCACTCCTTTTTATTTCCGTTCCTCGGTTCTCTTTTAATTCTTTTCATTTCAGAAGTCAGAAACAAATAGGGGATAAAAATGTGCGTGAAAATCAGTTTCGATATAGAAAACGTTGCAATTACATGAAAATTAATTATTACCTTTCTCTGGACATCCAGGCATGCTCTCCCAGGGTAAGGATGGGGAGGTGGAGTTGCTAAAGGAGAAAGACAAGGATTGAAGGAAAGAAGGAAGTATAAAATAGGGGGCTACAAATTAATAATGAGTGAACTTCAAATTCAAGGTACACTATAAAAAAAAAAGTGGTCCACTGTTAATATAGTTTTATAAAACAAATTAGGAGACAAAAGGGGTTGGAGTGTTAGATTACAAACTATTGACTGAAATTATAAGAGAAGCAGAAAGCTAATAACTTTTGTTTGTTGGTGATGATAAAGATTTCTTTGATTGATGTACGAGGATTTTGAAAATTATAGTTCTCCAGAAATCAACAGAGCACTCTGAGATAAAAGCACCAATGGAGAGAGACGAGAGAGAGACAGGGGGAAGAGAAGCATAAATGCCAACTCTCTCTCTCTCTCTCTCTCTCTCACGTGTGGTTCCTTAATATGTTTTGACTTTTTTATCAACCATTTGATTTCATGCCTGCATGCGGTTCTTTCTTCATTCTCAGGAAAGACCTAACTTATTTTGACCAAAAAAAAAAAAAGGTAAGACCTAACTAGTTTTATTCTTTGTTTTTTCTTTGAAAGTTGAACACGAATTATCTTATAATACACATGTTTTTTAATTAATAAAACTAAACAAACTAGTAATTAAAATGCAAAAATAGCTCAGTGTTTAGAATTAGAGAATACATCTGCTAATTGTTGATAATGAATGCGAATCTATGGTATATATGGTACATTGTATAGTTGAACACAATCACATAATTTGTTGTTCTTCTCCGCAAAGAATTTATAAGATGCAAAGCTAATTCAAACAATAAATAAATCAATTCTACTTGAACAAGCAACCCTAATTAAATAGATGTTATAAGCACAAGCAAGGTTTCTTCTTTCTATTTGTAATCTCACCAAAGGATAAGAAAACTTAATTTCCTCCTAAAGGCTATTTTTAGAAATAAATTAGAGATCTCTCACTTCTCTTTTTCATTATTTTCCAATATGGATAACAACAATGTTAATGTATCAGAAACTATAGATTAGCATGTTCGGTACCAAAATATTTTTCTCTTTCACATCATAAACTTGACAAAATAAAATATAACTTATATCAAGTGGTATTATTTCGATTGCATCAAAGTCTTTTGTAATAAAATCTCACTTGAGTTGAGTAATTTTGAGTAAAATATAATCTCTCACCTGTCTATTTCATCAATTTCTAAATATGTATAATGATCTGGAACTATAGATTAGTATGCTTGGTACCAAACATTTTCTTCTCTTTCACATTTTATAACCGAGGAGATATATCTCCTTATTAAGTTGTAATAGGCATGTTAGTTCCTTGTCAAAATCAAGAACCCACCTGTGATGAAAAAGCCTGTATCTGTATCTTGCTCCGAAAAGGAAATTTTATATCGGTCACCGTATGAAAACCACAATTTGTACTTGAAGATGGCTAATACCAATAAACCCATATGATTTAGTCAGAACTTGAATCTGTCAAACATTGATTGTCCCTTTCTTTACAACTAGCCATACGTATGGATCATCAGCAAATTAATTCAAACACTCCCTTGTTTCCCCTTCTGGTATAGCCAGCAACTACATGTAGGTTAATTAAAGTCAATTATACATATATTTGTCTAATTTAGTAAGTCATATTTACAAGCAAAAGAAGCACACACACAACATTAAATTTTGGGATAAATCAAAAGAATAGACATTAGAAGTCATATGCAAAGTAAAATGGGACAAATGAGGTTGATTGATGGGACGAAGAACTAATTCTCGAAAGTTACTTGTACAGATTTTTTCCTTCCCCTTTTCAGTCATCTCTTAAACTTCTACTTCAAGGAATTCACTACTCTTCTATAAACTTACTCAACACATCAGTGATGTTTACAGAAAAAGACTAGGCACCCTTCAAGATAGGTTATATATAACGACAGATATATGGATAATGGATCTATATGTGCTAATTTTCTGGACAGCTTACCTACATTTTCATACAAGGAAAGCATTGTGATTAATCTATCATGGCTGTCTATTTGAACTATCCAAATGCTGCGTTGTCCATATTTTAACTAGTGCTGTCAACAGCTTCAATGATTGTATGCGTTGTTCAATGACTCATCTGGCTAGCCGCCGGCCATCAGATTTTCTTTCTTTCTTTCATTTGATTAATAATTAGCTTACGAAGAAACCCAATGGCTTAATTTCGAGTTGTGTGCCATTATAACATGGCACACTCATGCTTGACTAGAAAAATTGTGTTGAAGAACGTGAAAAAAAATCTTACATCAAAAACTTGACAAAATAAAAATATAACTTGTATCAAGTACAATACTATTTCAAATTGCATCGAAGTCTTTGTGATACAATCTAACATCAATTGGGTTGGTATATGGTTAAGTTGAAAACAATATCGGTATATAATCCATTAGTAGTGGACCATTAAATTCCCTCTGTGAAATCTTGCAAAAAAATTCAAATAGTTTCTCGATTGACTCATTCTTATATTATATATATATATATATATATATATATATATATATATATATAGTAACTACAGCAGTAGTGCAATCTAATTAATTAAAATCATTGAATTAAATAATAAATGATAAGATTAGACGCATACTTAAGCCAAGTCTCCAATGACCTAATTACTAAGACCAGGGGAATGAGGAATACTATTAATAAATATTTGGTCAGTAGTAGATGGGCCAAATTCTTAGTTGTGAATTTGAGGAGTGTTATGTCAAAGGTTTTGAGGAGTGTTCTGTCAAAGGTGGGTGGTGAAAGGGAGTGAAAGGGAGGGAAAGGAAGAGAAATAATAGATTTTGAAGAGAAAGGAATTAGTAAGGAATTGGAGGGGATTAATATTTTAATTTATTATGATTTGTGAAATTCATATATGTGCATTGCTTAGATTGTAAGAAAATGGCACCATCTTACAATCTTGTTTGACCCGTATTTTAAGGCTCGCAAGTCGCCCCGATGTTCTCTCATCCCCAACCTACTCTCTCACACTTTCATTCTCTAAACACCAAAACCCAAAACTTAATTATCCGTCATTTTACAAGTGGTCTTTTATCACAGTGCTGAAAATGAGTTGTGCCCTTATATTTCGGCATGGGTTTGAATCTCGTCGGCTCTCTAATCTAACATTTAACCACTAATGCTATTGTCTTATCAAAAAAAAAAAAAAAAATTATCTGCCATTTTTCTTATGCCAATAGGTTTGAAGGTCCTCCAAATAAAGAGTAACTCTAGTTTTTTTTTTTTTTTTTTGCCTTCGTTGTCATACATGTGAGTAAATTGTATTTTACTTGGAACAACTTCTCACGTGATATTACTATTTTACTTAATGAAATATCACATGTGTCGTCCAACCATATCATAACATGTATAGTGATAACACCACATAACGGTGTTCTGAGTCCACACAAAAAATTCCTCTATATGCAGTGCTATTTGATTTGATATGAAGCCTGGCTAAGCTACCACACATTTTCGTTTTTGTTTTCAACTCTTTATACCGAACAAACATTCGTTTCAAATTTTTAAATAATTAAGTCAACATATGTATATGGTAGCCAACTAACCATATCAAGAAATCTGTAAGTAAGCTGTGTGCATGAACTTTGGTCGTAAAACGTTGCCATCTAGTTAAATTGTCAATCTAAGATAGCATGAGATCTCTTCCACTACTCACTAATAAAAAACCTGAGACTTCTCCATCCAGGTCCTCTGCATCCTTAATATATTTCTCTTTTTATTATTCTAAAAAGAAGAAATTAGATATAAGTCTAATTAATGCCCCCTTATTAGGTAGTAGTATTATTATTAATTAAAAAATATATATTCGGTGGATGGCTGGACTGTTAATGGGTAGACTTTGCCCTACTCTTGGCAAATTTAAAGGAATTATTATCTTAGCCCAACCTAAACTTAGAAGGCCCAAATCGGGCGGACCTTGCCCTCAGACGATATGAATAATGAGCCGTTGAGCAATTGTATTGACTTGGCGTTGCACATGTCAAGGATAGACTCCAGTGCTCGCAACCATCATTGATTTGGCATCCTCCACGATAGGACCAAAGTCGGACAAGTTGATGGAGGCCTCCTTCAAAGCATAAATAATCTGGAGCGAGTTACTCTCAACAATCATGTAAACCCCTTTCCGCCGCCAAAACTAAACCTTCTCTTGCCGCAATAGCCTCCACGAACAAAGGAGAAAAAACATTTGCCACAGAAGCAGCAGCAGCAGCCACAAACTCTCCGTTCCCATCTCTAATAATAGCTCTGATACCTCCAACCTCGTTTATCTTAAGTCTTCCGCGCGGAGGTTTGACCCATTTGACAATGAAAAGGCGGTGTTAACGGGGATACACGTCTTCCCTTTCCATAATTGGTTGTTTCTCGAATTCACACTGCCCATCAGATCATCAAGCAAATGTCAAAATTGGAGCTACTTAGGTTGTTGGCGAGGAACGAGCCCCGTTCATTGAGACACATTTGCTGATTTCCTTTAGGAGGGTGACCAAGTGGAGAAGCCATCCAAACACAAGAAGTAGGCAATCTCTCATCAAGTGAACGGCAGATTCCAAGTGGTGTTTAGTTTAGCATGAGTAGTGTTTCTAACTTCTTGAGATATTGGTTGAAATGACGAAAATACAATTTCAATTGCTAAGATGATAAATTTTTCATAATTTTGTCCATGTGTCGTCAATATGTGATTGATAATGTCATAAATACATATCCATGATTTGATTTTGATCATTTTAGCTATTGAGATACTTATTTCAACCAATTTCCCGACTTTTTACAACCATGCCTATATATCCAATAATCATAATTTTCTTTGCGAAAACAAAATTGTATCACTCTCAATTAGACGTGGTAACATGTTTTTTTTCGTGTGTCGTGTTAACCACAAATCACATTTTAACAAGTCATCCGAACTCAAACTCTTAAGCTTACTGACAACAATTGTTTAACTCGATTAAAATTATTTATTTAATGATTCATTTAACGGGTGACCCGTTAATGGAAAAACTTTATTTGAGATACATTTTAAAGTCAATGATTTTGATTTATACTCTTGAGAAGAAAATAAGTGGTTACCAAAATAATAAGATATATACCACACATGTTATAATACTTAAAGTCACGCATAATATGCTCCATTAAAAAGGTCAGGTAACAACACAAATCTTGAAGAAGGAAAAAAAAGATTCAAATTCAAATAAATGGTCTAATGAGCAATAAATCTTAAAATTTTGCATCCCGTCATATGTGGCGAATTTTCAAGCCTAACATGCAAACAACACAAATCGGGTGACGTAGAGCACGTGTAGCCGTTGAACTTCATACGAGGGACAACCTGTTTTGATACCATGAAGAAAGTTGAGGTTCCACCATAAAATCAATTGGTAATATGGAGAGTAGCCCAACCTCTTATTAGCATATGTAAAATCCCTCTTCTCATCAATGTATGATTCATTCTCAATAAGAACCAGCAATTGTATCTACTCTAAAATAAGAGAAGGGCGCTGACAAAAGTGAAAGTAGGTGAAGAGTTCTTTAAGCCCTAATAATATTACTTAGTTGTATTCACTTTTATGAACATGTACAGAAGCCTATTAGATAGGAGATTGAAACAACTTACTAAAATAGAGATGATTTACAAGATAAATAATTATTCATCTTCTGTCATTAGATTATCTCATGTTGTTACATCCCACATCGTTCAAGGGAGTGAATCCTCTAAGCCTTATATGTATATTCTCATCTCTACCTAGCACAAGGCCTTTTGGAAGCTCACTGGCTTCGGGTTCCATTGGAACTCTGAAGTTAAATGAGTTCGCGTGAGAGCAATCCCATGATGGGTGATCCA